CCTGAGTTTAAGCCCCAGTCAGTACCACAAAATATACAGACTGTAGTCACCACCCGGAAAACCCTGAGCAACATGAGCCCGGAGCAACCTCAGCCCCTCACCTGCCGGAGCAAACTTGCTGGCCCTGGTCACGGTCACCGCGCAGGAAGCGGCCAAGATGTGGCCAAGATGCAGACTGAGCGGCAGCTCCTCAGTGAGATCTTTGAATAAAGCAGATGGCCTGGGCGGATTCTGGCCTAAGCTCATCCCGGCTCAAGCGCTAAGCTGGGCCCCTGCCCGAGCCACGAGCCCTAAGGCCTTCTGGGGAGCGGACATGACACTACCCCGCAGGGAACCTAGGTGCTGCCCCCCGTCCTGTGCAGCACCCACTCCTCTAGCACCCCAGCCCCCACGGCCCCTGCCTGCCCATCCTCCGTTCTCTTCTGGAGACAGCACCTAGCTATGTAGCCCAGGCCTGCCTTAAACTCAAGGACCCTCCTGCCTAAGCCTGCGAGCACTGGGGTCCCAGGTGTGCACCACCACGCCTGGCTGCCCACGCCTGAGCCTGGCCTGAAGCTGCTCCGCCCCAGACGTCTGATCTCGGAGCAGCCCCATTCCCCCCTCCAGATGTCTCCGTGTCCCCAGGGACCCCTCACAGGGTCTCTGGCTCACACGTCATCCTCGTCCTGCACCGGAGGGGACACGCCTGAACCTGGGGCTGCCCTGCTTGCAAGCTGGCTTCTTGGCCCTTGTGTCCCCCGCTGAAGTGTCAGCCACCCTTGCCTGAAGTCCTTGACTTGGGGCTGGCCAGCTGGTGTAGCTCCTTCCCCCCACACCCCCGCTGTGGCCCCCCAGCCCCAGCCCTGAGTCCCCCACTGCTGCCATCCAAAACTAGCAGGTCAGTCTGCTGTCCAGCCTGCTGTTGTCCCAGGCCCAAGGCCCCAATACTGTGTAACCAGAGCCCCTCACACTGACTGGGGCGATTCCTTTTTTTGGGAGGGGGGAAGGGTAAGTAAACCAGGATCTCACTATGCAGTTCAGGCATAGCCCAGACTGGGCTCTAACTGTGGGTGATCCTCCTGCCTCAGCCTCCCACGTGCCAGGATTACAGGCCTGCACCAACACTCAGTGGTCCAATTCACCTGTCCAGTGAAGGACAAGGCCTGGGGCCTGCACACCAGCTCCCCACCGGCACACCGGGCCCCTGCTGGGCTTGACAGCCCCCGGCGGGACCTGCCTGTGCTTCCTGCACTGTGTAACTCTCCCTGGAGCCCTCCAGCCTTGGTGACTCATCCCGTGCTTCCCAAGGAAGCCCAGGCCCTCGCCCTTTCCTCTATGCTTCCCCGAGTGGAAAGTGCACCCCCGAGGCAGCCGCCCCCTTCCTCCTCTGTCCCCCCAGTCCCCACCCACCAGTTTCCTCCCGGCCTAGGCTGCGGCGGCAATCACAGCCACAGACCTCTGCTTCCTCTGCCGGTGAGCCCGGGGCCTGGCGGCGCGGGCCACTTCCTCCTGAGTCGGCACAGCGAGCGCCAGCCCTGGGGCCCAAGGCCCGGCAGTTCGAGACTCTGGAGAGGAAGCCCCTGGAGCAGCCCAGGTGGAGCCGGAGACCTTAGGGCCGGCAGGGCCCCACGGCGGGGCCATGGCGGAGCTGCAGCAGCTGCGGGACTTTGAGATCCCCACGGGCCGGGAGGCACTGCGGAGCAACTACAGCGCCCTGCTGCGGGTCGCTGACTACTGCGAAGACAACTACGTGCAGGTGGGTGTGGGCACGGCAGTACCTGGGCCTGGGGACCTCGGAGGACAGCAGCGGACTTGGCCCACCGGGGCTCCAGTGTCATCCCAGTCCCCAAACTCAGCCCTGACCCTCAGTGCGCAGGTGCCCCCTGGGTTCCTCCCTCTGCCAGTGTCTGGGAGGTTGGGGGCCCTGGCTGGCTCTTGGGGAGACTGTGGACTCCGCAGTTTGCTCGTGATCTTACCCCAGTTGGTCCCTTGGTACTCAGGGGAGAGTGGAGAAGTCTTAGAGCTTGGGTTGGATAGGAGGCCTGACCTGGGAGGCACATGCTAGGAGGCTGAGGCAGGAGGATCTCAAGTTCAAGCCCAACCTGGGCAACTTAGCAATTTAGGTAAACAGAAGCTCTTAGAGCTGGGGATGTGAGCAGCTCCAAGGAGATGCAATCTCCAGTCCCTCCTAAAGAGAGAGAGAGAGAGAGAGAGAGAGAGAGAGAGAGAGAGAGAGAGACTGAGGAAGAGCCCACAACGAGGGTCGAGGTGCCTTGGAAACGTTTTCCACGTCATGCAGCTGTCCTGGCACTGAGACAGATTGCTGGTGACAGCAGCAAGGCAGGGGACCGAGTGACAGCAACTCTGACCCATGCCCAGGGCACAAACCTAGCTTTCTGTTTCACAGGCGCGAAGACAGCGCTCAGGGACCACCAGAGTGGGTGGCTCCTGTCTTGGGCCTCTGCGCCCCATCCTGGCCTCCCTCCTTGCCATTTGAATGGCTCTAAGACCATTTCTCGGCATGCTGTGTCCTGTTTCCTTAACGGAAACCTGTTACCACTTGGGCAAAACCTTCTTTCTCTTCTTGTTTTGGCTTAGCTTGAGACAGGGTCTCACTGTGTAGCCCAGGCTCGCCTTGAACTCCCACTGATCCTCCTGTGTCAGCCTCTCCAGTGCTGGGATGACAGGAAACCGGTGGGACAGGAGAAAGCAATCAGGGTGAGCCCAGTGCTCTGTCAGGGCCCGCTGGGTTTGCAGAGCAGCAATGTGCATGGCAAACAGATGTGACCCAGAGCCTTTTTTACCAGGCCTAGCTGTGGGCCAAGACCAAAGTCTGGGTCGGAAGGGTCCAGGTACCGAGTAGGTGCCATTTTCCCCAAGGGAACAATTCCAAGTCCCAGTTTTGGGGTACTGTCTAGGAGAATGGAGGAACCAAGAACCCAGGTGGACCCCCAGGAGCTGTTACAGCTGGGTTCCGCCCTGACTCCTCACCTTCCACGGGAAGCTCTTGGGCTACAAGGACCCCCCAGCCCTTGGCTGAACATCCATCTCTGCCGCCGTTCCTAGCTCTGATGCTTATGCTGATGAGATGCAAACCAGCATGCAAATGAGCATCACTTTCTTGCTGTTGGAAGAGGGCTTCCCAGAAGGCTGTCTCAGGAGACAGTGGGGGCAGTCAGGTCCCTCAGGACTCAGCTCTGATGGTTCAGGAAGCTGAGGCAGGAGGACTGCTGTAAGACTGAGGCCAGCCTGGGCTAGGTAGGAAGACCTTGTCTCAAACAAAATCAAAACCAGAACTTTGGTCTCCAGGGACTCGTTGCTGGGCCCCTCCCCCATGGACTGGCACTATGTGGGTTTCCATTTGATGTGTACAGGAGTGAGCCCCAGATGCCTCGCTACTAGCCATCTGCTGTGAGTGAGGCCTAACCCAGGGCAGGGTGCAAAAATAGAACAGACAAGCTCTTTAATTTTTCTCACAGTCCTTAATTTTTTTGAGGAAGGAGAAACATAATAAAGAAGTAAACAGCTGGGTGTGGTGGTGCACGCTTGTACTCTCAGCACTCAGGGAGGCCGAGGCAGGAGGATCACAGATTAAAGCCCAGCGTCAGCAATTCAGAGACTAGGCAAGATCCTGTCTCAAAATTACAAATAATTAAACAGATATCTAGAAAGGGCTGACAATACTCTGGTGCCAATGCCCAGGGCTCAACCCTCAGTACTGCACACTAAATAAAGAAGTTGGTCATGTCTGATTCTACTACATTCTAGGGATAGAGAAAAGGGAAATGAGATGGTGAGTCAGTAGGGAGAGGAGCAGGGATAGGGGGGAAGGTGCTTCGGGGAAGCCGAAACCTGGGAATGAGGAGGGGCCGAGGAAACACAGCAAGTGCAAAGGCCCTGGGGCAGGGGCAGCCTAGCTGGTCGGGGACAGACACCAGGGCCAGGATGGCTGGAGGGAAGCAAGCAAGAGGGGAGCCACAGGCGAAGGGGCGAGGAGGGGCAGGAGCCTGACCCGAGGGGCTGTCTGCGGCCGTGGCTGGGGCTTGTTCCCGTGGTACTGGGGAGTGGTTTTTCTGGCTCGTCAGTTCAGTTGAGCCCCGAGTACCAACCTGCACTCTGGGCTAAACAGGAGATGTGGGGTTGCCTGGCAGCTTGGAAAGACACAGGCTCTTGGGTGTCACTCTTAGGGGACTCCACGTTGAAGGTCTGGGGTGAGGGTCTGAGATTGGTTTGTGTGCTTTTGTTTTTTGAACAGGGACTTGCTATGTAGTCCAGGCCTTGAATTCACTACAGAGCCCAACCTGGCCTCGAAAATGCAGGGATCCTCCTGCCTGGGCCTCCCCTGGTGCTGGGGTCACAGGCGCACACTCCTATGCCCAGCTGGGTGGCTGGTTTTTGGATTGAGGCCAGTGCCCTCCAGCTGGCCCAGGACAGGTTCCTCTTTCCCTCCTACTGTTCCCATGGTTCCCCCAAATCTCCCACAGGGCTGTGCGCTGCTCCAGTCCTCAGGAGGGTGGGAAGGTGGTCTCCACTCTCCTCCCTGCCTGGCACACTACAAGGCTGCAGATGGATTTTGTCATGTCCCCTGAGTCCCTCTGATCACATCATTCTCCGGGAAGTCACCTTGGACATCTCAGGCTGTCTCCCAGTCCCCTCCTACTATTTCTAGGGACCCCTGTCCCTGTGGGGGAGCTGGCCTCAAGCTGGGGCTGTGTGTGTTTCAGGCCACGGACAAGCGGAAGGCTCTGGAGGAGACCATGGCCTTCGCCACTCAGGCCCTGGCCAGCGTCGCCTACCAGGTGGGGAACCTGGCTGGGCACACACTGCGCATGCTGGACCTGCAGGGTGTGGCCCTGCGGCAGGTGGAAGCCCGCGTGAGCACGCTAGGCCAGGTGAGAGTATGGCCAGGGGTCCCCATAAGTCCCCTTGCGGCGCATGTTCCTTTTCTGCCTGGCTGATGGCAGAGTCAGGAGGCTGAGGCAGGGGGCTCCTCCCCCATTTCAAGCCCAGCCTGGGCTACGCAGGGACCTTGTATCCTACAGGCCCTATGCTCAGGGTGCTTGCTGGGCAAAGTCACCTCCATCCCGCCAGCACCGTCGCTCCTTCGAGTCCCGCCTGTGGCATCCGCCTGCTTCCTTCCTTCCCAGGCCTTGACCCTGGGATGGCCAAGTATCGTGTGCCTGGGCCTGGCCAGCAGGGCCTGCGAGCCGCGCATGCATGTAGGGGTGTGTCTTCCTGTCCTCCTCAGGGCCACTGGCTTCTCCTCAACCTGCCAAGTGAAGTGAATCACCCTGTTCTCCACCCAGGTCACCGTCCTGTCCTTCCTAGCATGCACAGGACATTTTCTCTCCCCCAGGGAACCTGGAAGCCTCCCCTCTCCTCCCCATGCCTCACCCACTCCTCTCCCACCTCGGCCCCAGACCCCTTGCCCTCTCTCAGGCCCCTTCTGCACTGTCCCCTCATCCTGTCCCACAGATGGTGAACATGCACTTGGAGAAGGTGGCCCGAAGGGAGATCGGCACCTTGGCCATGGTGCAGCGCCTGTACCCCGGCCAGAAGGTGGTCGCTCCTGAGAGCCTGCCCCCGCTCGAACCCTACTGCAGGAGACCCATCAACTTTGGCTGCCTGGATGACATCGGCCATGGGGTGAAGGTAGAGAGGGGTCCTTCTCCCCCACCACCTCAGAGCCTTCCTTCCTACTGGGTCTCTGAGACAGGGTCTTGCCTGTGTAGTCCAGACTGGCTTCACACTCACAGTGATCCTCCTGCCTCAGCCTCCCCAGGTCTGTGGATGGCAAGCACGCCCACCATTTCCTATGTTTGTGTCCCAGCCTGCAGCCTGTGTTCCCACTCCCTCAGCCACCACCCCAATCCCCTAACCCTACTGTGGGGCCCCTCCACACCAGGCCTTCACCCCACACCCAGCCCATCTGCTCAGAGAGCCCCTGGGCCCCCTTGCTGCACCCCACCCAGGCGTGGGGGCTGGGAAGGGGAAGCGGGAAGAAGGATGTCAGGGTGTGCATGAGAACGGCCCCCAGCTGCATGAGAACGGCAGCTTCCTGTCTGGGGTGAGGTCACCATGCGGCTGTGCAACCACCCGGAGCAGCCCTCTGTCTGTCTGTCTGTCTGTCTGTCTGTCTGTCTGTCTGCCTGCCTGCCTGTCCGTCCGTCCCTGGGAGAGCAGGATGCACTTGCACACCCCTGCCCCATTTTGTCAGTTCCAGACTGCATGCTGCCACACTGAATCAGCTGTGTCCAGCCCGGTGTGGGAGGCTGAGGCAGGAGGATCACAGCAAGCTCAAAGCCAGCCTGGACTGCATTGAGACCCAGTTGTCTTTGGCTGTCTAAATGGCACCCTTGATACCCCTGACACCTCAGCACCAGGGTGGGGGACCAGCTCTTGCTCCTTCAGCCACGATGTTGTCTGTTTTTAACCTGTACTCCTGCCCCACGGACGTAACAGGTCCTAGCGCGTCCCGCAGGCCGTGTTCTGGCCCCTGAGGAGCACCGCAGCTGACCCCACAGGGTTCATGCTTTGTCCCTATGCCCCAGCGGCTGGGGGGGGGGGCAGGAAGAGGGGCTCCTTGTGTGGCTCTTTCCGCCCTCATCTCCACTGCCAGGCGGGCGGGGCTCCTCAGAGCCAAGGCGCCGGGGCTGTGGCCGGCGGCGCAGGAAGTGGCCCCAGACACGACCCGCTCGTCCCTGGGGCGGTTGGGCCGCGCGGGAGCACCCGGGTCCCCAGGGGTTTTGGGGGGGCGGGGACGTGGAAGTGGGGACTCTTGGCCCCCGCACCTCCCGCCCCTTTCCTGTCCGGGATGCGGCTGGGTGTCATCCCCTCCCCAAGATGTCAACCGACCCTCCCCCACAGGACCTGAGCACGCAGCTGTCTCGGACCGGGACCCTGTCGCGCAGGAGCATCAAGGCGCCAGCCACTCCAGCCTCAGCCACTCTGGGGTGAGGCCTCCCGCGAGTTCCGCACTTCCCCGGCTCCTGGGCCCAAGCCAGGTTCCGCCACTTACACCCCCACCCCACCCTCAGGAGGGCGCCCCGAATCCCTGAGCCCGTGCAGCTCCCCGCACTGCCGGATGGCCTCCTGTCCGCCGCCTCCTCCGCTTCATCGCTGGCCTCGGCAGGGTGAGCGCCCGAGTGGGCGGCAAAGTCTGGGGGCGGGGGAGGGAAACCCTGGCCGGCTCACGTCCCACAACCCGCTTTCTGGATCGCAGCAGCACCGAGGGTGTCTCCGGGGTGCCCCCCTCCACAGGGCAGGCGACACCCCCAGCCCCGCCGCCTCTGCCCCCGTGCGCTGAGGAGGGCTTTATACCGCCACCGCCACCAGGTAAGCACCCAGCCCCAGCCCTTCCCCCTTGGCACCACCCGCGCCTGGCCTCTGCGCACCGAGTCCAGGGCGTCCAGTTAGAGAACTCAGGGCACTCCAGAGGCTGAGGCAGGATCCCCGAGGCTGACGCAGCCTAAGCTACATAATGAGTTCAAGGCCAGCCCGAACTGCACACCGAGATCTTTCCTCAAAAAACTAAAAAAAAAAAAAAAAAAAATCAATTTGGAAAGTTAACAGATGGAAGCAAGTGGGGGACGTGACTAAGGGACTCAGCGGAGGTCCTCCTGGCAGACTTGATGCCACTCTGCCACCACCTGGGTCACCCTCTCGGGCCCTTCGTGCTTGGTTAGCAGTGCTGGCTCTCACTCCCCACCCCGTCCGTCCCCGCAGAGCTGCCCCCGCCCCCGGAGGAGCTCAGCGACCTGGAGTTGCCCCCGCCCCCGCCTGGCTTTGGACCGGAAGAGCCCAGCTGGGCTCCCGACGTCTACTTGGAGAAAGGTTCGCTTGGACCCTTCGGTCCTTTCCCCCAGGACCCCCGTCCTCTGCATGGTTTTCACCCTTTCCCCACTTTTTTTTCTGTCAGTCTTGCTGTGTAGTTTGGGGGGACCCGGAGTGCTGGGGGTCACAGGCGTGCACCACCGTGCTCGGAGCTCCCCTCATTTTTTTCTTTTCATTTTTTGAGACAGGGTCTTGCTATGTAGTTTAGATAGGCTTTGAACTAACTTTGGAGCCCAGGCCGGCCTTGAGCAGTGGCTGCCCTCCTGCCTCAGCCTCCTGAGTGCTGGGGTCACAGGTGTGCGCCAGTGCATGCGGCTCCTCTCGTTTTCTGATATTCTGAATTTTGAGCCAAGCTGGGAAGGGAGCTGCTGGCTTGGTACCGGGCATCAGCCCCAGGGAGGGTTCTACCGGGACCCGCGTTGCTGCCTCACACCCCGCCCCCCCCCCCAGTGGTGACGCTGTACCCGTATGCCAGCCAGAAGGACAACGAGCTCTCCTTCGCCGAGGGCGTGATCATCTGTGTCACCCGCCGCTACTCCGATGGCTGGTGCGAGGGAGTCAGTGCCGAGGGCACCGGCTTCTTCCCAGGGAACTACGTGGTGCCCAGCTGCTAACCAGGGCTGAGGCAGGAGGTCCCTGTCCTATCCCCTCCCTGTGGCCACGGGGTAGGGGCCCCAGGCCTGCTGCAGTGGACCGGAGCTGGAGACCTCAGCGCTGTGATCACGTCCACTGGCCCCTCATCCCTGGGGTGTGGGATCCCCAGCCCCAAGCAATGACTCTGAATAAAGCTCCCCGACCTGCTCATGACACCCTCCCGGGCTGGGGACGGCCCATGGGGAGAGGGACTAAATGCAGCCTCAGCCCCCTTTCCTGGACTCCAGCCGGCCGTGCCAGCTGCCCCCCCTCGCTCTTGCTGGCCGAGAGCAAAGAGCCTCCGCTGTCCCCATCCACACAGCACAAGAAAAAATGATCTGCCACTCGGTCCCTGTCGCCACATTTATAGCTTGAACATAGTGGGCGGGCTTCCGGCTCGGCACAGCATGGCTTCTCCTCCAGTGGGACAAGGGCGGCTTTGGTAAGGTCTGCGGCTCATGGGTACGCGGTCCCGGGCCAGCCTTGCGCTCCCTCTTACATCACCAGGGGTCGATGGTGTCTCCTGGCTTTATTTCCTCTGGCTGTGGCTGGGGTGGGTGGAGGAAGGCAAGAAGGCCTAGCAAGCACAGAAATTGTGCGGGGTTGGCTGGAGCAGGATTGAGGGGCCCTCGAGGATTTGGGGGTCCTGAGGTCTTTTTGAGAGAAAACGGGGAGAGGTTTTTGCAGCCCAAGGCAGCAATTAAAGCAAAAAGTTCTGCAGCTCAGGCTGGCCTTGAGCTCGCAGAGATCCTCCTGTCTCAGCCTCTGGAACGCACCAGGCAGTGAGAGCTATGAGAGGAGGGAGCTGCCCCTTCTCGGCCGCTCCTCCCAGTTCGGAAGACAAGGTGCTTTGGAAATGCCTCTCCTGGGGCCAGACACCAGAACCGCCTGGCATGGAACGCGAGGCATCCTGGCTGGGGTAACTGCATAGATGGACAGGGCTCTGATCCGCTCCCCGGCCCCTGAGGGGCTCAGCCGCGCAGAGGAGGAGGGAACAGGGGGAAGGGGCTGGCTGTCTTTCCAGGCCCGCCCCTCCCCGCGCGCGCCCCCTTCTGGCCACCCGGGCTCAGCACTCCTTGAGCACCTGCTGCAGATGCAGGCGCACGTCTGAGGCAGTGTCCCAGGGCACCACGCAGGGGCGGAAGGAGCTGGGTTCGGCCTTTTGCGCCTCTTGGATGAGCCGGTGCATGGGGTAGCCCCGGCGCGGGAAGGCCACGTCGCCGACCGCCAGCAGCCCCATGGGGCAGAAGTCGTTGGCGCCGTCGCCCACGTAGAAGAGGCGCTCGAAGTGCACACCGTCGCGCGCGCGCTCGCGCAGGTAGTCGCTGAGCACCTTGTGCTTGCACATGTTGGCGGGGCAGCGCGCGCAGCCGTGCGTGTGGAACGGTCGCAGGGCCAGCTGTCCCCGCGAGTCAGGCCCCGACGGGTTGCTCAGGATGCGGCGGAACAGGCCGTGGTGGCCGGCGGCGCGCAGCCTGCTCTCCACGCCGAAGGTGTTGGCGTCGGAGATAAGGATGACCTCGAAGCAGGAGCCCTGCTTGGCCACGAACTGCAGCAGGTCGCCCATGCCCGGCGACAGCGGGATGGCCTCGTAGACGGCGCGCAGGTCCCGTGGCCGCACACCCTGCTCGCCCAGGTACTGGAACACACGCTGCATGTACTCGTGGTAGAAGCCCTCGCGGTAGGTGGCGCGCAGGCTCTCAGGTAACTGCTGGCCCGGCGCGGCGCGCACGATCGAGTCGTCGCTGTTCTCGTCCACAATGGTCTCATCAAAGTCGAAGGTTAGGAGAAAGCGAGGCGCGCCTTGTGCGGCCATCCTGCTGTCCTGGGAGCAGGGGGGACAGGAGGAGGAGGGGACAAGCGAGAGGGGGCGCGGCGGAAGCCGGCCAGGAAGGAGCTGGTTAGCAGGCCACGGCCAGGGGCGCTGGCACATCCAAGACCTGAGGAGGACCCAAAGCTGGGTAAGCGGGGAGCAGGGGTGCCTGCCGCCCGCAGCCCTGCCAGCCCTACCCATTCCCAACCCCCTCAGGCAACGTCGGGCTTCTACCCCGTGACCACCCTCGGGTTGAACCCTGAAGGGCTCCCTGGCTCCTGTTTCTGCCACTCGCTTCCACTGGGGCCCCTAGGACTTAAGTGTCAACTTCAAACAAAGGAAGAGAGACCTGGGCCTTGTGATTTGGAGACTTCAGTGGCACCTGTGGAAGGCAGTGGGCAGAGCGCGGAAAGAACGCCCACTTCCCTTTGTTCCTGCTGCAGCAGAGCAAGAACAGGACACATCGATCGGCGGGCTAGGACAGCCGTCTGTTCTGACCCCATCGCCATGGGCTCAGCGGCTTTGGGGACTGCAGAGGGCCCTAAGGAGCCAGGCTCCAGGCAAGGGTTCTTGGTATCAGGCAAAGCTGTGGACCAGAGAGCCAGCTCTCCACAGTGGGTGGGAGTCAGGCCAGGCCTAGACAGCCAGGGTCTTTGAACTTGGGGCTGGGCTTCAGCCCTAGCAGGGACCAGGTGGCCCCCTGGGAGCTGCTGCAGCCAGATGTGCTGGACAGGGACCCTGGGAGGGGACAGGGCTTCTTCGTAGCTCCTTAGGGCCCTGTGCTGACAGCACGCCCCTGATCACTTGCCAATTCCCCAGGAGGAGCGGGTGAGCGGGTGGGGCTCCTGCCAGAGTCCGAAGCAAGCAGGCAGCAGGAGGGCGTGGGGAGGTAGCGGCCTCCCGTGCCAGGCCTTGACACACCTGGGGGACAGGTAGGCAGAGGAGAGAAGGCAGCAGTGGCTGAAAAGGCAGAGGAGGGGAGGTGTCTAGGAAGTCATGGTGGGGGACTGTGGCAGGAGACTGCCGGACAGGAAGCAGAGACAGGAGCAAGACATTTGACAGAGATGTGGATGGGGAGGGGAGGGTGGTGGGCAGTACGGGGGAGGGGAGGGTGGTGGACAGTATGGGGGAGGGGAGGGTGGTGGACAGTACTGGAGATGGGGGGCAGTGGGGAAGTTACACAGAAGGCAGGCAAAGCCCCAGCAGCATGTCCCTGTCACTTGTACTTGCCAACTGAGTGGGCAAGGGCCAGTGGACCAGCCCCACAGGGCTGCCCTCCTCACCCCCCCCACACACCCGGGTGCCCATGGTCCAGCAGCCCTTGTACACCTGTCTCCCTAACAGAATTGTTCCTTCAGCGACATCCCTAGGGTCATCCTCTGTCTCAACACCCAGCTGGAGTCTCAGTGGCCTGCAATCTTTGGGTTTGGAGACCTGAGGCACCAGGACCCCATACCTGAGACAGAAGCTTCCAGGGAACAGGGGGTGCTGGTGGAAAACAGGGGGCTGAAGCCTCCTCCTGGAGCTCCACTTACCCTAGTCAGGCATCGGAGGCTGGTGACTGGAAGACACGCGCTCATGGTCACTGGGTTACCCAGGGCACCAGTTCTAGGAGCTCTTGGCTTCTGTTGTCAGCTCCTGGTGACCATAAGAGTCCATTTAGCTAAGCTATCCAATCTGCTAGTGTTGTGGCCACTTCTGTCACCCACCTGGCCCTGTCATCTCAGAGGCTCAGCATAAACAAGCCATAAAGGGACACACAGCATGCACAGGCCATGAGGCACCTGGCTGGCCCTCTTCCGGTCCCCAGACAATGCAGAGAGGTTGTCCATGGAGACCCAGGCAGGTTAAAATACCTGTCAGGTCACCCACCAGGAGAGGCAAAGATATCTCAAAAACAGGGCTTTCAGCCAGGTAGTTGGCAAGCCTGTAATCTCAGCAATCCTGTAATCCCAGCAAGCCTTTGATCCCAGCAAGTCTATAATTCCAGCACTTGTGAGGCTCAGGCCAGAGGATCACCACCAGTTCAAGGCCCATTTATACTACAAAGTGAGACCTTATCTCAAGAAAAAAAAAATGGGGCCAGGGAGATAGCCCCGTAGCATAAGCACCTGGAGCAAAGTCCTGAGTTCGATACCCGGTACAAAACAAAACAAAACAAAACAACAAACAAACAAACATACAAAAAAAAAACAAAAACAAAAACTCAACCCTGGAAAGATACTGACAGGCAGAGACAAGATTCAGGAAAAAAAAAAAAAAAAATCTGGCTGGCTGCTGCCCTCTGGTGGTGATAATGGGTGACACTGTAAACTCCTCTGACTTTGCCAAGGTGACACTGTGGGCCATCCGAGCTGCAGGGAGACGCAGCTGGGACGTCCCAGCTTCCAGCGCCTTCCCCACCAGGGCGCCCCCTGACTGTGCACGCGCCGAATCCAGTCCGGCCTGGGGTGTGGACCTTGTTTTTTCCCCAAAAAGTTTTAGTGTAGGAATTGGGAGAAGGAGCCAGAGGCAGATGGGGCAGAGGGTGAGAGGGAGAAACAGTGGAGGTTAGGGACAAGCTGGGAAGGAGGGAAGCTTTGGGACGGGGATGTCCCCTACCGGGATTCCGGGCTGGCGGCGCTGCCTATCTGCCCTACCAGGAGACCGAGGAGAAAGGTGTGTGTGGGGGGGAGGCCGGCACACCCAGGGCGAAAGCAGGGCCAGGGGCAGGGGCAAGGGATGACCTGGCATGTGTCTGGCCCTCAGAGAAGCAGGGGAGGGGCACAGAGACACAGGGGTCACATACACAAGCAGTCACATCAAGACCAGCTTGCATACCAGAGAAAAGAGTCTCTCTTGCTTTGGTCTCCTGGGTATAATGTTTTACGGTTGGGGAACTGAACCTAGGGCCTTCCCATTGAGTTACATCCCCAATCCTTTTCGGGTTTTCTTTTCTTTTTCTTTTTTTCTTTTTTTTTAGGCAGGGTCTCACACTGCAGTTCAGGCTGGCCTTAAAGTTACAATGTAGCCCAAGCTGGCTTCACCAAGGGATCCTCTTGCCTCAGCCTTGCAAATGCTGGGACTACTGGTGTGTGTCACCACACCCACCCTTAATCTTTTTATTTTATTTGTTCTGAGCCAAGGTAAACTGCTAACTCTCAGGTTGGGCTTAAGCTTCTTTGAAGTTTTATGTCTCAAACCCAGGATTTGAGACCAGGCATAGTGGCATATGTCTATAATCTCAGCACTAGACAGGCTGAGGCAAGAGGATCACTGTGAGTTCAAGGCCAGTCTAACTAGTGAGACCCTGACTCAAAAACAAAAAAGGGCCGGGGAGATGGCTCAATGGAATAAGCGCTTCCCTGGCAAGTGCAAGGGCCTGAGTTTATTCCCTGGTTCCACCCCCCCAAAAAACAAACAAACAAACAAACAAACAAACAAACAAAACCCAGAAAGCAGAAACCTGTCTTCAATCAAGCAGCCTAGCGAACTAGTGCTCTTACTGAAATACACATCCAGTGTCCTGGGCTCAAATTTGTACTCCTTCTGCCTGGGGCCTCCCACAGTGGCTGAGACTAAAAGCTCCACACCTGGCTCGTTAAGTCCCCTGGTTTGGTAGTTTGCCCTATGTTCATCTCCAAAGCAGAAAGCCAGGCATCCCTAGGTTCCTCCCAGAGACCGGGGTCCCTTGCTGTGACAGCCCCAGTTGGAGAGACTCACCTCCTGTAGCTTTGTCTTGAGTGATCCGATCCTTTGGTGGTCGCTGAGGAGTCAAGGGGGAGAGAGGCAAGATCTCCAGGCTGCTCTGTCCTGAAGCAGGAGACAAAAGTGAAGCTCTGTAATCCAGGGGTCCATTTCTAGTTCTACCCAGGGTCGGCCCCGCCCGCCCCTCCACCCTCCCCTCCCGGTGGGGGAGGGGCCTAAAAATGAAATTCCTCTGGAGGGGGGTGACCCCTCCCCCTGAAAGTTTCCCTGTAGTTTCCCACCAGAAATGCACAGGATAAGGATGAGGGGCGTGGGCTCAGCAGTACGAGTCACAAGCCCTCCTCCCCTCTATCACAAACAAGACCCCCCCCAACACTAAGCGGCCAACTCCACTACATTCCTAATTCCCCAAACCTGCACAAGCAAACAGGATAGACAGTGGCCCAGAGAGGCCAAGCTAACATCGCAGGGGTTGCACAGCGCCAAAGTCAGGGCTCGAACTTGGGGCTCTCCCGAGCTCGCCTTCTTGTTCCCTGAGTTTCCTCCAAGCTGGGAGTTTGCTGTCCTGCCAGCGGGGCAATGATCCGTGCCCTGGTGCGAGGGAGGAAGCTGGGGCTTGCAGGGTCCCAGAGACACAAGGGTCACACACCTCGGGGCAGTCCCTGCCTGGTGACCAAGCTGAGGGAGGATCCGAGTTTCAGGGCAGCGAGGTGGCAGCTGCGATGGAGTGAGGGAGATATTTTTAGGTGACCGGGAAGCTGGCTCCTGGCACACCCCCAGCTGGCGGGTGCTGCGCCCTAATGCGGGCGGGGGGTGCAGCTTGGGGATCCCGCGTGTTGAGATGGGGCTCCGGGTACTGGGCAGGGGACAGAGGGGACCCCACTGGCCCCCAACCCGCTCGGGAACCGTCCCTCCCGACTCCGGAGCTCCGGACTCACGTGGGGCGGCGCGGCGGGGTCCGTCCCGGCTGAGTTCAGAGGCTAAGGAGTGGGGGGCTGCTAAGGTTTGTGGGCGCAAGAGTGCTTGCCGGAATGGGGCGACGCGATGTCTTGGCCACCCCCGGATTCCTGGGCTCCGGTTCACGACGCCCTCCGGGCCCGAGGGACTGTGGGTGATGTGTGTCCCGAAGGTCCCCTCCACCTGCCCCCCATCCTTCCTCCCGCTGGCCACAGTTGCCACCGCGTCCCCTTTAAATGCCCGGGAGCCCGAGCCCGAGCCGCGGCCAGCGCTGCGGCAGCTGCAGCACCATGGCCCGCCGCAGTCCCCGACGTCACAAGCGGTTGCCCAATCAGCGCGGCGCCGGCTCTCCTAGAGGGGCGGGGCGGGTTCAGGCCACGCCTCCAGCCGACCCAGACTTCAGAGCTGAGCGAAGGTGGCTTTGGCGCGTGGGTGGGGACGCCCGGGTCCCCGCAGCCGCACCCCATGGGGATTGGCAAAGATCACCTCTGCCCCGCAGCAGCCCAGCCCAGTCGGGTGGGGACGCAGCCGGCCAAGCCTGGAAAAGCCCCACTGCTCCACGCGCGCCCCAGGCCGCCCTGGCCTGTCCCCAGCCCATGGGTGACTCCGGACTCCCTCCGCCCAGAGCAGCGCTGGGGGGCCCCTTTGCAAGTGGCATCGGAATAAAAGCCCAGTTTCTCTTCGGCCGACGTGGAAGTGCACACCTGCTATCCCAGGAGGCTGAGGCAGGAGGATCGCCGCGAGTTTGAGGCCAGCATGGGCTACACAGCGAGGCCGAGGGGACCACGTGTGAAATTTTTCGGGCAGAGTGGGCAGATGGTCGCCAAGGGCGGCATGGAGTCCTGTTGGAATTTGGGTTTTTCCACAAACTTTGATGTTTTGTGTCCAAAGAGGACTTTTCTGTCTTGCATTTGGCCAAGCTTTTGGGTGAAAGTCCAGAACACCCAGGAGAAATGGTTTTCCCAAGAGTTCAAACCTGCCAGGCATGGTGGCACATGCCTGTCATCCCAGCACAGGGGAGTCTGATACAGGAAGATTATTACAAACTCGAGGCTATTCTGGGCTACACAGAGTTCAAGAGCAGCCTGCCCAGAGTCACTTTCTCCTACCTAGGACAAAACATTGAACAACAATAATTGAAAGGAGGAAAGGTAGTTTGTTTCTTTGATTTTTTTTTAAGTTCATAATTTATACACGCTTTATTCCGTATATAGCTGTCTCCAGGAATTGAAGAGAGGAAGCAGTCCATTGCAGAGTATGAGAAACAGTAAATTTCCTTTGTGCTTGTCCTAACAACCCAGTCAAAAGAAAAAAAAAAAAAAAAAAGGTCGGGAGATGGCTTAGTGGGATAAGCGCTTCTCTGGCAAGCGCAAGGGCCTGAGTTCAATCCCTGGTTCCGCCAACAACAACAAAATAATAATAACTATAATAATAATAAAAAGAGCAGCCTGAACTACATAGTGAGGCCCTGTAAAAAAAAAAAAATTAGGGTATGGGGGAGGAGGCTGCCAGTGCCCAGGCCTAGGCCCTTGCTGGGGGGGGGTGTTGGGTGACAGCAGGGATTGGCTTAATCTCCGTGTTCAGACTGTAATTTGAGCTGGGTGTGGTGCATAGGTTTGTAATCCCAGTACTCTGGGGTAATGAGGCAGGAGGATCAGAAATTCCAGCCCAGCCTGGGTGGGTTGGCAATTTAGGTGCTAGTGTATTGACCCACCACACAAGAGGCATTTTAAATTTCATTTATTTATTTGTGTGTGTGTGTGTGTGTGTGTGTGTGTGTG